CTTTCAAAGAGACAGAGAACCAACCTCAAGGATAACCAAATATTTTAATATCAAACCAAACAATAGTTTCTCTGAATCAGGGGGTGGGGGGGTGGGGTGGGGGGGGAAGTCTGTTTAAACAGCATGCTCTTTTATGAGCTATCTATATGTGATCCAACTGACCACAGCAACTGGAAAAATTAGATAAGGTCTTTGGGGACAGTGTGCTTATGTTAATGGGGAAGAAATAGAAAATAATGATGAGGGGTTGCACAATTTAAAGAATACAGTCAATGTCTGTAAATTATAAAGTGGTAGAATGTAGAAACTGCTGATCTCATGTATGCTTTGCTATGCATATTCTTATCAATAAAACTGAAAAAAAGAAAATCCATGGAGCACAATTCTACTCAGAGACACATGAGGCCATCAGGAGTAGAAAGAATCTTGATAATCATCAACCTTTTTTTTTTTTAAGTCTTCTGTGTGCCTTTGTCATGGGCTGTTCGTGGATTCTGGTTCTCCCATCCATTCTAGTTTTCCTATTTGGATATTTGACTGTATTTTGATGCTATCACTTTGTTTGATTTTATCACTTTGACTTTATTGTTTTATTACAGGTTTATTTTCTTTTTCAGCTGGAATCTTGATTAGATCTTGTGTTTATCTTCTTTTTACTCTGGAAGATTTCTTATCTCTTAAGATAGCTTATCTCATCCATTTGGCATTGATTTTAACAGTTCAGCTAGCATGTGATGATTTCAATAAATGAGAGAACTTTGTTGAAAGTTCCAGAATTTTGCAATTCTATGAAATAATATGAAAACTAATCCTCATGGGCTCATGTATATAGTGTGGGGACCAAAATTAATTTTACTGATATGGTTTCTGTGTTGCATATTGTTTACGAATCCCTGATATTTTTCCTTGTACTTTTTTGCTTCTAAAATGCAAAGTAAAGAAAAATTCTGGTCAGTTGGGGTTCTAGGTAATAGAACAATGATAAAAAACTGAATGAACTTCTGCCTTAATTGAAAAAGATTACAGAGTTTAATTTGGGTCTAGCATCATAAAAGAATGCTATAGAGAGACTA